CTTGACTGCTAACCAGAAGGCTGGTGGTTCAAACCCACCAGCCACTCCTCGGAAGGAAGATGGGGCAATCTACTTCCGTAGTGACACTGCCTCGGAAACCCAAGGAGGGGTTGCTATGACTCGAGTCCTACTCCACAGCACATAACAACAACAACAAAATATGATCAGGTAATACAGGGGTCAAATTGCCATCTCTCTAACTATTTACTTGACTTCATTTCTTTTTTTCTACATGATTCTATCCCATATATATCTATAGTTAGGATTTGAGGGAGAATCAAATAAAATCAGGTAGGTGGAACACTTGTCACAATGCCTGGCATGCGGGCAAGTTCTCAGTATGTTAGCCATCACCAGTAGCCGTAGCTGCAGTAGCAGCTGCAGCTGCAATAGAGCTTGAGGTTTCTGAATCCCAGAGTTGTAACTCTCACTCTCCAGGAAGGGTATGAATCAATATTTTATTGCCTCATTTCTCCTGCCTCCTTCTTCTTCATCTCTTGGCAGCTGAATCTATTTTTGAGTTCAAATTCTAGGATTTGGTCCACTCCAAGTTTTCAGCCAAACTTGGTAGAAACATGATATACATCAACTGTTTTCAGCCACCCTTTAGCAGGTCTTGAAGTTAACCTTTGCTTCCTAGATCCAAGATCTGATAGCTCTGCATACCTGCAGAACTTGCTTTACTCCCTTGAAAGTCCTTCACTCTTAACCAGAAGTGCCCAAAGGGTGAGTTCATGTGGCTAAACACACATGCTTTGGTTTAACATGCCAGGATGGGAACAATCAAAAGGTCAGCCTTCCTATTTGATTTCTGCTTGATTGTTCAGTTATAGTCGGTCATTTCCTCCTTTGAACCCACCTTGAATGAGAGCCCATTTTCCCAGAGGTCCTGTCCCCATAATCATTGATTTGTATTCCAATTAAAAGTGGAGGTCCTAGGATCTCATTTGCTATTGGTCCAATTTCCAAACGGTTATCTACTTTTTGGGTGGATCTTGGCCATGCTTGGCTTTCCAGATCTGTCCTGGATCATATTTGCATTTGCTCTGCTTTGAAGTACATTATTTGTAGGACAATCTGGCCACTTGGCATCCTAGTTTAGGACAGCATCTGTAGTCTCATCAGTTGCCCCAGCCCTATAGGCCAACACGCACCTCTTTGTGGTAGTCAGTACAGTATGTTGCCAGAGCCTAACTAACTTGCCTCCCAACTGAACCCTTTCAAGTCACGATAGAGAGCACTAAACCTTAAACAGATTTTCTAACAAACCCCCTTTGCCTTTCTCCTTCTCCCTTTCTCTAGTCTCTTTCTTCTTCTCTTTGTCTTCTTCCTTTCATTCTCTTCAACTTCTGCATCAGGCAGGCCAAGCTTCCAAAGAAAGAAATCACTTACAGAGCTGGTAGAGTTGAAGGACTAAAGATATGGCAAAAGCTCAAATGGAATATATTGCAACCCTCTCTCTTGTACTTTCCCACTTTTGGCCCCTAAGTCATTCCTGCCTTTCTCAGCACTTTCTGTTTAGGGCTGTCAGGACCTTCTATTCTGAACAAAGTTTCTTTTGTATTCTTGGTCTGACCCTTCACTTGTTCTACAAGAAAAAAATTTCCAATTTTCCTGGAAATGTAAGATAGTTACTGTAACAATGCTCTAATTCACTAATTTTGTTTGATTGTGCTTTTCCATAGAGATGTGATTAAAGACATAATACTGACACATGTTAGTAATATTGATATTTGCTGAAATTACTAGTTTGTGATAATTTGTAGTACAATAGCCAACACAAAGATCTTAAAAACAGTTCTGCTAGTGTAGTCTTATGATTTCTATTATTATGCAATCAGTGCATGGAATAAAAGAAGTGTAGAGAACATTGGTTTTGGGAGAAAGAATCAGAAAGAAAGAGAGACTAGAAAGAGCAAACCTAGGTAGGGGCTGTAATAGGTAATAGATTATGAAGGTATGAACCAAGCTTTATAATTTGGTCTTTTCAATAACCCTTAATATCAACCAAGACTATGAGATACTTCACTGTTCATAACCAAATAACCAAATATTGTCACTTTTCCAAATCTCCAGATTCCCTGGCCTTGAAAGAGCATAACCTTTATTTCCCCAGTTCATACTCTCTCATTAAGGGGATCAACACAAAGCTGCCAAATGAGATACTTTTCTCTTAGTCTTGGCCCAAATTTCTCCTTGCCTGGAGCCTGAAAAGCATACCTGGGCAGGGGGAGAGCAGGACACTCTCCTGTGAGCTCTGTGGCCACAGCTTCTCATTCATGAGTGGTCACCTGACAGGAGCAGTATTCAAAACCATGAACTAAGGTGTGGTACAAGCTCCTTTAAGCACAAGAGTTTGGGGGCTCCTGGTGAGTTCTCAGAGAAGCATGCAGAAGAGAAGGATGGAAGGGGGGTGGCCTCTTATGAGGAGTTTCTTCCTCTGCCTCACTGTCAGCCTTTTGCTTCAAGGTAAGATGGGGCAAGAACAGGGAAAGACCAGAGTGTGATTCTGAAGGACATCCAGGAACTTCCCTCTAGCACTTGGAGGGCATTAAATGTTAAATTAGTGTTAAATATTTCTTCCATAATATCTGTGTCTTGACCTCCTATTGGTGACAGAAAAATAGTTCACTAGTTAGTAACACATAACCCTTCTCTATTCCTGTCTGCATAGAAATCTACCAACTGTCCTTCCATTACACCACCTCTCCAATTCCATGTTGTCATTGACTTCCTATGTCACTTCAATCACACCCCTCATCCAACCCTCTCTGTCTCTTTTCCACTGATATGGTATCTGCAAGAGGAGTAGTCACTGATTTTAAACATACTCTGGAGGATTAAGGAAAATACCAAGAGAGTTTGGGAATCAGTCTGAGATAGAAATGGATGAGTGCTTAGCTTCTAAGAGGAAATGTTTGTTCCCTATCTGGGTACATACCTTAAATATTATGGATGTGAAATATCAGGATGGGAAAGAGGAGGCAGAGAAAAAGACCTGACAAAAATGGGGCAAAGAATTTGCTCAGATATCCCTGGCCGTGACCAAGAGATACGCCTGCTTAGGCCTTGCTGTGTGATTGGCATATGGTATATTTCATTGATATTGCGGCTTGTCCTGATGCTGAAAACAACTCCAAGATATCTGATGTCACTGAATGTGAGAAGAGCAAAATAAATGCACAGCACCAAGGTAAGCCCCCAGTCAGAATACCTACTACATGCTTCCCTTATCTACCGAATAGGCATGGACCTACCCACCCCCCAATAAATCAGTTCTTCCTTTCAATAGATGGACATCTCTGAGAATGAGAAAAGAAGTACATTGAAGCAGATTTCTTAGTGACCTAGACTACAAGTTTTAGGGCAGTGCTCAGTGGTGCTTGTGCTAGGTGGGCCCGAGATGTTTGTGATGGGTACACTAAAGGACTCCTTGAAGTGACTGTCATTGCACCAAAGCCAAGTTTGCATATAAATTTGGGCAGATTTTACATAAGGATCAAACAATGGAAGTGAGAAGAGAGTACTGACTCAGCTCACCACATCAATTCCTGGCATTTGCCTACCAGCCCAGCCCAGCCCATCCTCCCTGGCCCTGGCAGGAAGGATTTTGGCTTTGGAGAGTCTTGGTCCAGGAAGGAGGACTTACTTGCTTCTCCCAGTGCCCCCTGTTTTCTCTCTCTACAGAGCAGGCCCGAGCCTGGCACCCCTCTCACACAGGAAACACAGAGACCTTGATCCCATTTCACAGGCTTTCTTTTCTCTACAGGAAGAGGTGACAGTTTCACCATCAACTGCTCAGGGTTTGACCAGAATGGGGTGGATCCTGCTGCCTTCCAAGCAGTGTTTGATAGAAAGGCCTTCCGTCCAGTTATCAACTACAGCATCCCCACTCATGTCAACATCTCCTTCACCCTTTCTGCTATCCTAGAAGTGGTGAGATCTGGCCCCCTATCTTTCCATAGGCTTCTGATAGGCAACAAGGACCCTCTTCCCTGTCAAACCAACATGGCACTGGTCCATTGGTGAGCAGTGGGGTCCCTGAATGGATTTTATACAAGTTAGAGGTCCATCCTATAGGGTGGGAGACAGAAAGAAGAATGCTGCAGTATTATTGTTACAGGAAACATTTGTCCTTGAGTCCTTCCCTTTCTGGAATTTGGGGGGGGGGGAAGGAAAATTCAAAAAAGAAAAATTAAAAATTTTATTAATTAAAATCCGGATTGTCCTTAAACATGAGGAGAAGCAAGTAAGGAAAAGGCAGTCCAGCTTCTAGACTTATGTCTGGCACAATAAAGTAATGAGTGTGTATGAGAATGTGAGGTGGGCTTGGCCTAAATGTTGCTGCACTGATGATCCTTGATGACAATTTCTTTATCAGAATGCACAGCTCCAGCTGCTGACGTCATTCCTGTGGATGGATTTGGTAAGGCAGTCTCAGCTACCCTATTCCTACTTTCATTTATAATTTTAAGCTGCAGAAGTTAGAAGTAACTTAAAGGTTTTCTAGTCTAAACTTTCACAATATGCATAACTTTCCCTTTCTGGGACAAAACAACTCCATCTAGAACTGGACTGGCCCTGGGAACACAAAGCTCCCTAGGCAGCTAAGGAAGAAGTGGTGGTTGAAGAAATGGCCCAGGCCAAGTGGCTACAGGCCAAAATATTGGGTGTGTCTGGCCCCAAATGGTTTTAGGCCTTATTTAAGATCTGTCTGGGAAAAAACCCATGAAGAGGAACTTAACTGATGACACTTTGTTAGATAAAGAGGGGACGATAGCTGTGGTCATTAAACACACATGTGGGAGTGAGAGTCTCAGGATTTAAAGAAGAATGGAAAGAGCAAGACAGGCTGACTGGACAAACTCTACCATCACCTTTCTTTCTCACTGCCCTGGCTACAGGTGTGGGACAATCCATTCATCAACTGGAACCCAAAAGAGTGTGTTGACATCAATAAACTTACCATATCAGCTGAAAAACTGTGGCTCCCGGACATCTTCATCATGGAATCGTGCGTATCTGGGCTTGGGAACAGCATGAATTCCCATCTGCAAAGGACATCTCACTGTCAGTGCAGGGAACAGGGCTACCATAAGATTCAGACAGAGGCATGGTCAATTAATTGACTTCTACAAAACACTGAAAGTAGCAATACAAACAAGATAGAGTGACATTAGAATAAGAGCCAAAACAAGGAAAGCATAGTCAGACAAAAGCTAACTGAGACCCCCAACAACACCCACCTCTCCCTCCTTTTCACAAGCAGCATGGATGTGGATCAGACACCTCCAGGTCTCACTGTTTATGTCAACAGTGAAGGCCGAATTAAGTATGACAAGCCAATGAGGGTGACCAGCATCTGTAACCTGGACATCTTCTACTTCCCTTTTGACCAACAGAACTGTACCTTCACCTTCAGTTCTTTCCTCTACACTGGTGAGTGTGACACATTTAAGATTCAGGGGAAGATATTTAACTTGTATTATTAGAGAAGGTATTAGGTCACTGTTTCTCAATGTGGCTGCCCACTAAAGCTCTTTTAAAATACCCATAACTGTATATCATTCCCAGAGTCTAAAATCTACTTGTTCCAGAGTGGATCCCAGGCCTTGTCATTTTTCCTATCTCCCCAGTTGATGCTAATGTGCTCCCAGGGTTGAAAACTACAGCTTTAGATCTTGGTTAGCCCTTGTACCACATGAGGCCCACCTGACCCCAAGTTGCCGCACATCTCTATTTTTTCGCTCAAATCTTTTAACTTTAATAGCTAACAACCTTAAACCGGTAGATGAATGCAACTAATGCCACCAACTGTCCTGTGGCAACTTCAGATAAATTCATCATTACAACCAACATGTTTGTAATTATGAAAATGTTGAGCTATTCAAGTTTGATTCCACTAAAACAACTTCATACAACTGGAGAATTAAGAAGGAAAATAGGAATGACTCCAATAATAGTGACTCACATTTGAGTCATATTCCATATTCCCATAACAGCTTTGAGTCACTTGTTTTCACCAACAAAACAAAACAAATCAAATCAATGTTGTAACCCATACACATATGAATTGCTAGTCTTATAACCCACTTCTGAAAAAACCTGGATACCCTGCTTTAAAAGGAGAGAGGGGAAATTTTGTTGAAAAAACCCAGTGGAGGAGGAATCTAATGTTATGGGTGGGAGGCTTGGAAGCACCTCTTGACTGAACTGACTGGGTCTCCCTTGCAGTGGATAGCATGGTACTGGGCATGGACAAGGAAGTATGGGAGATAACAGACACATCTCGTAACATCATTCAGACCCAGGGGGAGTGGGAGCTCCTGGGCATCAACAAAGCCACGCCAAAGATGTTGGTGGGCAGCAACCTCTATGACCAGATCATGTTCTATGTGAGTCCAGGCGTCCCTGTTTGATTTCTGGTCCCAGCTGCTCTGTGATTTTCCTCTCTTCCTAAGATTGTTTAGACAGTAAAAACAAGCTCCGGGAGGTTTAGCATCAGCTTCCCAATCTACCTTCTATCAAAGTCAAAAAGCAAACCCATTGCCGTCAAGGCAATTCAACTCATGGCAACTCCAAGTGTTACAGAGTAGAACTGCTCCATAGGGTTTTCTTGGCTATAATCTTTACAGAATAATATTGTCAGGTCTTTCTTTCATGGAACCACTGGGTGGGATCAGACTGCTATTGTTTAGGTTAGTAGTAAAGAGTAAACCATTTGTGCCGTCTATGGACTTTACCCTCTACCCAAGCTTCCTTAAAGCAGGGTCCCTAGAGACACTCCTCACCTCAGAGGGAAGGGGCTGGGCTACTATAAGCACTAGTGCTCAAAATGAAGCATCTCCCATTTGATGGTGCCAAGGACTCTACTTCATCTATAATCGCACTGTGTTCCCAGCAGACTGCAAATAAAAATTCGACAACAAATAGGGAGACTTTAGTAGAAGGGCACTACTAAATACATGTGTTACCTAAAGAGACTGTCCCATTGCCACCCTTACAGCACATTAGCAAGAATCGGATAGTCAAATGTATAAGCTGAGCCCTTTGGTATCAGTTCATTTGCCACATTCTCCACTCTCTCTTCCCCAACCAGGTGGCCATCAGGCGTAGGCCCACTCTCTATGTCATAAACCTTCTGGTGCCCAGTGGCTTTCTGGTTGCCATCGACACCCTCAGCTTCTACCTTCCGGCAGAAAGTGGGAATCGTGCCCCATTCAAGATAACTCTCCTGCTGGGCTACAACGTCTTCTTGCTCATGATGAATGACTTACTTCCTGCCAGTGGCACCCCCCTCATCAGTATGACATTTCCCATTTTCTGGAGAAGCAAAGGACAGGGAGGGGGACTAGGAGAACCAACTGCTGCTCCACTTAAAGGGGAAAGGATGGGATTTGGGGAGAGAGATTCAAGAATCTACCCTGGTTTACTTATAATTTGCTATGTCCTCAGGTGTCTACTTTGCCCTGTGCCTGTCCCTGATGGTGGTCAGCCTGATGGAGACCATCTTCATCACCTACCTGCTGCAGCTGGCTACTAGTGAGCCCCCTCCCATGCCTCAGTGGCTCCACTCCCTGCTGCTGCACTGCACCAACCCAAGGAAATGCTGCTCCACTGCATCCCAAGAGGGAAATAAAGTCCTGGGCGTCACCCCAACCCAATTGCCTGGTAAGAGAAGTCAGAACTGCCCACATTCTCTCTTCCAACACCTCCACTCCTCTGCTTCTGCATCCCTCCCTGTCACCCTTAACCCCCAGGGTGACATTCCCAGCCAGTGAATAAGTCTCTATTCTCCCTACAGACCTGAAGGAGCCAGTGGAGTTGGTAGGGAAGATGCCCAGCTCTGGAGAGGCAGAGTTAAATGGGTGTCCTGAATCAACAAGGGCCCAGCAGGAGCATGAAGTCCAGAAGCAGCACCTCGTTGGTCTGTGGGTGCAGTTCAGCCACATGATGGACACCCTGCTCTTCCGCCTTTACCTGCTCTTCCTGGCCTCCTCCATCGTCACGGTCGTTGTCCTCTGGAACACCTAGGCAGGCTTCTCACTACAAACCGTAGCCTAAAGTTTCTCCTAATTTTAGGTACAGCCAGGCCCTTCCTAATCTTAGCCACCTATCCCTAGTGCCCTTACGCATTCCAAAAAAACTCCAACACAGCTCTACCAAGTAGATTCAGAATAGCCCAGGAAAATTTCCTGACTTCCCAAAAGCCAGAGTCCTCATTCCTGCACACTTAGTGTCTCTTAGGCTGCCCCTAAGTTCTGACTTCCTTATCAATGGAGAGCCAGGTTAGTAAAGCCTCTCCTTCATTGATTGCCCCAATAAATGACTCTCTAGGAAGCATTGGCTCCTCAGTATATTTTATTATAGATCCATAAACACCAGCGTGGACAGTCCTCTTGCAGAAACTTTGCTACTTTACCCTAAACAGGTGTAATCTGATTTGACGTCAAGTCTTTCAGACACTTTGAGAGTTTCAAAAGAAAAGGTCAAGTGCCATTTGCAGGATATTACTATAAAACATTTACAAATGTTCCCTTTATCAAACATTTCTCTTTCACTGTCCTTTGCTTCTCTCATTCCTGAAATTGCTCTTCAAACTAAATAATATATTGTGTTATTATTATTATTATTAAATTCTGATAGTTTCCTCTGATTTCACAACATCAATGGGCTGTCTACATACACATGCTTAGAGGAGGGCTAGGAAGACTAATTAAGGACCGCAGTTAAAGGGTTCTGCTTAAATAAATTGCTGTACAGCCACACAAAGGAATGTTATGTAGCCATTTAAAGTGTGGATAAAGATCTATGTTAATGCCGTGGACACAGATCCATGATATGTTGTTGTTAGGTGCCGGTTAGTCATTTCTGACTCATAGCAACCCCATGCACAGCAGAACGAGATACAGCCCGATCCTGCGCCAGCTCCATGATCCTTGCTATATTTGAGCCCATTGTTGCAGGCACCATGTCAATCCATCTCATTGAAGGCCCTTCCCCTCTTTCATGACCCTCCACCTTAGCAAGCATGACATCCAGGGAATGGTCCCTTCTAACAACATGACCAAAATAGGTGAGATGAAGTCTGGCCATTCTCCCTTCAAAGGAACATCTTGGCTGCACTTCCTCCAGGACAGATCTGTTAGTTCTTTTAGCAGTCCATGGTACTTTCAGCATTCTTTACCAACACCACAACTCAAAAGAATCAACTCTTCTTCAGCCTTCCTTTCATTGTCCAGCCTCACATGCTTATGAGGTGATTGAAAATATCATGGCTTGTGTCAGGCACACCTTAGTCCTCAAGGAGATATCCTTGCTCCTTAGCACTTGAAACAGTTCCTTCGTGGCCGACCTACCCAGTACTACATGTCGTCTAATGTCCTGACTGCTGCTTCCATTGGCGTCGATTGTAGAACTAAGCAATGTGAATTCTTTGACATCCTCAATCTTTTCTCCATTTATCATGATGCTGCTCATTGGTCCAGTTGTGAGGATTTTTGTTTTCTTTATATTGAGATGTAATCCATACTGCAGACTGTGTTCTTCAATCTTCATCAGTAAGTGCCTCAAGTCATCCTCACTTTCAGCAAGCAAAGTTGTATCATCAGCATATCTCAGGTTGTTAATGATTCTTCCTCCAATCCTAATGCCATGTTTTCCTTCATATAGTCCAGCTTCTTGGATTATTTGCTTAGCATGTAGAGTGAATAAGTACGGGGAAAGGTTACAGCTCTGATGCACTCCCTTCTTGATTTTAAACCATGTAGTATCCCCTTGTTCCATTTGAATGACAGCCTCCTGGTCGATGTACAGGTTCCTCATGAGTACAATCAAGTGTTCAGGAATTCCCATTCTTCTCAGTGTTATCCATAATTTATCATGATCCACACAATCAAATGCCTTTGCATAGTCAATAAAACACAAGTAAACATCTTTCTGGTATTCTTTGCCTTGAGCCAAGATCCATCTAACAACAGTTATGATATCCCTTGTTCCACATCCTCTTCTGAATCCAGTTTGCATCTCTGGAAGTTCTCTGTCAATATACTGCTGCAACCATTTTTGAATTATCTTCAGTAAGATCTTACTTGCATGCGATATTAATGATATTGTTTGATAATTTCCACATCCTGTGGGATCACCTTTCTTTGGCATGGTTACAAATATGGATCTTTTCCAGTCAGTTGCCTAGGTAGCTGTCTTCCAAATCTCTTGGCATAACCGAGTGAGTGCCTCCAGTGCAGCATCAGTTTGTTGAAATATCTCAATGGGTATTCCATCAATTCCTGGAGCCTTGTTCTTCGCCAATTCTTTCATTGCAGCTTCGACTTCCTCCTTCAATACCATTGGTTCTAGATCATATGCCACCTCCTGAAATGGATGAAGATCAACCAGTTCTTTTTGATACAGTGACTCTGTATATTCCTTCCATCTTCTTTTGATGTTTCCTGCATCATTCAATATTTTGCCCATAGAATCTTTCAATATTGCAACTTGAGGCTTAAATTTTTTCCTCAATTCTTTCAGCTTTAGAAATGCCGAGCATGTTCTTCCCTTTTGGTTTCCTCACTCCAGGTCTTTGCACATTTCATTATAGTAATTGACTTTGTCTGCTTGAGCTGCTCTTTGAAATCTTCAGTTCAGCTCTTTGATCTTGTAATTTCTTCCATTTGCTTTAGCTACTCTCCACTCAAGGGCAAGTTTCAGAGTCTCTTCTGTCATCCATTTTGGTCTTCTCTTCTTTTGTTGTCTTTTTAGTGACCTCTTGCTTTCTTCATGGATGATACTTTTGATGCCATCCCACAATTCATCTGGTTTCTGATCACTGGTGTTCAATGCATCAAATCTATTCTTTAGATGGTCTCTCAATTCAGGAGGGATATATTCGATATCATATTTTGGCTCTCATGGACTTGTTTTAATTGTCTTCACCTTCAAGTTGAATTTGTATATGAGTAGTTGATGGTCTGTTCCACAATCAACTCCTGGTCTGGTTTTGGCTGAAGATATCGAGCTTTTCCATAACCTCTTGCCACAGATATAATCAATCTGATTCCTGTGTGTTCCATTTGGTGAAGTCCATGTGTACAGCTGCCGTTTGTGTTGTTGAAAAAAGATATTTGCAATGAGTAAGTCATTGGTTTTGCAAAATTCTACCATGCGATTTCCAGCGTTATTTCTGTCAACAAGGCTAAATTTTCCAACTACTGGTGATTCTTCTTTGTTTCCAATTTTTGCATTCCAGTCACCAGTGATAAGTAACACATCCTGATTGCATGTTTGGTCAATTTCAGACTGAGAAGTTGATAAAAATCTTCAATTTCCTCATTTTGGCTTTGGTGTTTGGTGCATAAATTTGAATAATAGTCATATTAACGAGTCTTCCTTGTAGGTGTATGGATATTATCCTATCATTGACAGCATTGTACTTCAGGACAGATCTTGAAACATCCTTTGTAATGATGAATGCCACGCCATTCCTCTTCAAACTATAATTCTCAGCATAGTAGACCATATGGTTGTCTGATTCAAAATGGCCAAAACCAGTCCATTTCAGCTCATAGCATAGTGCTAAGGCACTTGACTGCTAACCAGAAGGCTGGCGGTTCAAACCCACCAGCCACTCCTCGGAAGGAAGATGGGGCAATCTACTTCCGTAGTGATACTGCCTCGTGATACTGCCTCGCAAACCCAAGGAGGGGTCTCTATGAGACGGGTCCGACTCGACAGCACATAACAACAACAACATCAATCTTTATGCTTTCCATTTCATTTTTGACAACTTCCAATTTTCCTAGATTCATACTTTGTACATTCCATGTTCTGATTATTAATGGATGTTTGCTGCTCTTTCTCCTCATTTTGAGTGGTGCCATGTCAGCAAATGGAGGTCTTGAAAGCTTTACCTTATCCATATGAGTAAGGCTGGTTTTGTTCTGATAATGCAGCTCTTTCCCAGTCCTATTTTGAGACCCTCTAACCTAAGTGACTCATCCTCCTCCTCTGTATTAGACAATCTTTCTGGACTATTCACAAAGTTGTGCAGTAATATATCAGACAGTGTTTCTCTGCTATTCATAAGGTTTTTCCCTGGCCAATTCTTTGAGAAGTAGATGGCCTCTTCCTTCTTCCTAGTCTGTCTCAGGCTGTAAGCCAGGCTGAGAGCTGTGGACCATGTGCACCCTGCTGGGTTTGAAACACCAGTGGCATAGCCTCAAGACTCACAGCAACATGTCACCACAGTAGGACAAACTGACAGACAAGTTTGTCTCCCTTACCTGTTGGAAACCTCTCCAACCTCTCCTCGCCTGGATCCCTGCGGCTGACTCCTCACTCTGTCTGGGTCCCTCTAGCCTTTATACTCTCCTTTCTCCTGCCTTCTCACCCTGCCACTTGTGGAGCATGTCCTGGGTTCCCTCTCCTCACCTGGATCCCTGCAGCTGACTCCTCACTCTGTCCAGGTCCCCCTGGCCTTTATACTCTCCTTTCTCCCATCTTCATATGTTAAGAAAGGAAAATAAGTTACAAAATATTATGCATACATAATTCTGTTAAAAAAAAAATAGATATGCACAGAGAAAGTATAGATGGCTACATTAGCAAACTTTGTCCTGGATAACAGGATTATGAATGATATTTTCTTTTCTATCTTTGTCTGTGTTTTCTGAATTGTTTTCAATAGGTGTGTACTAATTTTATTATCATTTTTAAAAAACTATTTTTTAAAGAGTTCTCTATAAATAATAATACTTCACACCCTCCTGGCAACTCCATGTGTGTCAGCATAGAACTGTGCTCCATTTTACAATGACTGATATTTCAGAAGCAGATTGCCATGTCCACGTTGAGGTACTCTGTGAACCTCCAACTTTTGATTAGCAGTCAAGCGTGTTAACCACTTGTCCCACCCAGGGACTCCATATTTCAATTAGATAAGTACATTCCAGAGATTTATTTGCATTTCTGCCTTCAACTGACTGGTTACCCTCCTACATTATGGAGGGTAATCTGCTTAAGGTCAACAGATTTAA